TGCCCAGTCAGGGAGAACTTTTATGACAAGAGCGTTTTTGGAGGACGAGTGAGTCGCTACCCTTTTCCAGATCATCAGTAAGGAATAGGCATATGATGTTGGTTTGCAATCGCTAATCACCAAATCTAGTACGCCTCCCCTTGCCATTCTCCCCTTGGTTTCGAGAGAGATGCATGCCTGGGTAACAGTTTCAAAGGACCGAGTAGCTGCTTTGCACTGCAAAGGTGCAGCTTGCCCTCCATTTCCTCTGTACATCCACTAACTCTATTCTCATGCAGCTGGGAAGGGAAGGTCGGGCATGATAGTCTGTGCTTATCTTCTTTCGCTCGACACCTTTTCTACTCCTTTTGCGGAAAATAGTTACCTTGAAAAGGACTGGGTAACTGTACGCGTTGATGATTGCATGCAAGCAATCCCCAACGATGGTGTCCTTGAAGAACTAGGGGAAGCAGCTGTCCCTGCATCATCCATTGTGGAAGAAACATTCCCGGAGTCTCGAGACGAAAATCAAAGTATACCCACCAAATCCTCTGCGCCTACGTTACAACAGGTATTAGACTTGCACACCTCACGCCGGATGAAAGCACCATCTATTTCAACGAACGCAAAGTTGAAAGCAGGTGTTAGTATTCCTAGCCAGCGGCGCTGGCTTCTATACTGGTCACGACTTCTTGCTGGCCAGGGTCCACCTGGCATGTGGGGACTGTCAGACATGAAACCGGGCTTGCGCAATGACTCTAACTCATCATCGATTCTCGCGACGAAAGTGCGCATCACCGAAATTTCGCTTCGACTGCGTGAGATATCTGGAATTAAAGCGGGTCTCGTTCGTGCAGCTAGCTTGCTAATGGATCGTGGAAAGGACGGAAATGGTCTTGTTGGTCCTCGCAATAACCGTGTGTGGGCGTCACTAGCACGCTATAACGATGACTTGGTCGACGCTCTAGAGCGTTGGGAGCAAAGTACTCGGGATAGCACCAACTTGGGAAGGCGAAAATCTGAGTCGTCTGAATCGGTCAGCGGTATCTTTGCCAGCGACAAATGGGACAAAGAAAAGATGGTACGGACTTTCGCTCGGATGGGAGATGACGGAAAGCGACCTTCTGAAATGAATAGCGCAGACGAGGTCCGTCAACTATGTGATAAGCTGGTCGCACCACCTAGAGAACTCACAAATGACAGAGCATCAAGGTTTATAGCTATGTTCTCGTTCCGCTGAATGAGGAGCGTTGGGTGGAAATTTCCAAAGCACCCATTCGACAGGAGGAAACTCGCGGCTTAGAGCCTTCAGTCAAATCGGAGATGACTTCTACCGATTCTATATCCCAGTCAGTGACAAACAGCAGGGTCGGTCGCAGCGGAATAGTAGTTGACGCCGACCGAGAGTTGCGTATAAAACTCTACATGGGACAGGTATGTACTTATTGTTTTCTACGTGTCATTCATCACGCCAAGCCTTGGCAGGTATTTATGGCCTGGCTGTGGTTTATCCCAGCTTTTCACATTACTCCCGAGACACGATCCTCGTCGTTCATACTGCCCCGAGATGACCTCGATTTCCCGATTGGCATAGGCAAGGATATCATGGATGTGGAGTTGAAGATGGAATGGTGCCAAGACGAAGTTGATGATACGCAAGTGGAAACCGCCCAGACAGACTCACCTTCGTCAGGGGTGGAGACTGTCGTAGCCAGCCTTGCTGGTGGCGTTGAAGTTAGCCAAGCTCTCGAAAGATAAAGTGATCAATTCGTACCATGGTACTTTACGCATCAGATGGCGGCGGCCGCCTTGCTGTGGATCTGGGGTCCTCCTGGGCAGTCATTTTCGTCGTCACTTCCTCTTCATCAAGTTGACAATTTCCTTCGTCGTATATTATCCTCGCGCCCACGCCATCATACTACGGATGGTTTAATATAGGACAATGTAGGCTAATATTATGCTTTTTGTGTGCTCCTTATGGCGCCACGCTGAAGTGGCCTCGGACTTTGACAGTGAGAAAAGATGAGATCTAGAATTGAATTGTTTCCGGGCTATTTTCAACTACTAGGCATGAGGAGCCTGGGTCATGCATCTCACTCCAGTACCGTGACGGTGAACTGTCAGCATTTGGCCTGGGTCAAATACTGCCCGTTGAAACTGGTCACCCCATGCTACCATTCGCGCTGAAAGTTGTGTGGTTTGCACTGTCGTTCTCTGGTGAGCAGATCTGGACATCAAAAACTCCCCGGATTGACGTCACGGTGGCACAGGTATATTTGCATGCTGGATAGTCCTCACAGTGTTCGCTCGCGCGATTCAGAGCTACTGGGGTCCAATGTTATACTGCGTCTTTGCAACGATGCTCCAGGGAATTTTTTGCCTGGGTGCGTCCGTGTTGTCGTGTGGCTGCCAAACAGCTGAGAGTCGGGAAAGCTTTGCTGACTCCTTGAAGGCATGATATATAATATGAATCCGTATGATATGCCACCGGCTTTTTGCAAAGGTAAGCGTTCATAATGTATGATGTTGTCCTGTTGCCCTGATATGTATATGATGTCTCGAACAGCTCAGACGTTCATTATATACTATTCTGCTTTCTCCGTCACTGGAGTATGTGCCGCCTTCACGATGGCGACGACACGCGCTGTGGTGTGGCCGTCTTCTGTTTTAATGACTGCTTCTTCGTGCGTGGCTTGCATTACCGCAGTAATTTGCTTTTGTGTGCTTATAATGTGCGAGCAGGACGTTGGTATGGCGAAACCAATATCTCTTGCCCATTGTCGTGTTTCCGCTCGGTGCACTTGGTGTTGCCATTCCCGTCCTACTATCCCTTCACGCCATCCAACCCACAGATGACCTCCACTGCGACGCTACTCATCCCATATGGTGCGTCACTTGCATTACCAACGTTATGAATAATGCAGCTCACATAAACAGGGGACGATTTTTAGGTTATGCGGGCATATCCATGATCCTCACGATTCCATGTTTCTTCCTGTCTGCAGCAGCAGCCCACTACGTATTCAAAGTGCACACGGTGCATCGAGAGCTTTTCAAGCTCACAGCTTCACCTTCGCATTATCTGTCAGCAGCTGAAATTAGGGAGGTCAACATCACTGAACCTTCCGAGCCAAAAAATGCGCCTTTGCCGGCTAAATCCGACTCGGATGTGGGGTCCGCGGACTTCAGGAATAGGAACCATTTGATGGACGACCACTTGGCAAGGAGAGATATGATGCCTCGTGTTGATGAGATGGATAATGCCGCGGCTATGTCAAATGAGGTTTATTCCCCGCGGGCTGAAAGTTCTCCCTCTTCCTTATCCACACCGACTCGGACTTCGCCAAAGCGCTGGTCGGAGACATCGCAATGGGACGAATCTCAGATACGCGTCCAGCGAGCGTGCATTGCCGTGCCCGTTGAAGAATGTACGATGACGCTTCCGATATCAAGTGAGTCGTTACCTGGTCTGGTACCCTGGTGTACGTATTTACATACTTTGCCTTCGAGCCCGTCATGGTCACGAACAGCCCAGACAGAGTCTCGCACCTGCGATATGGAGGCTCATTCTTTTCCAAATGTACGTGCATCAAAGAATAGGTCGAGTTTTTGGAGGCACTGACGTGAACCCTCAGGGCGTTCTTTATCACCCAATTTCTGGCCGCGCTTTCGACTATCATCGATGTAGCGAGCCATCGCCAATATCCATCGCCTTTTGGGACGCAACATGTAGCGTTAGTACTGGTGGGATGGGGACCATCGATAGTGTTTGGTCAGTTCCAGCCTACTCCCATGAAAAAAAAACAGCCTGGCTTACTATTTCTTCAGGTCACCTTCCAGCAGTCCGTCGTAGATTGCAGTTCTGGCGACGTCCAGACTCGAGTACGAACTGCGGCTAATAATTGCCAAAAAATGTGTAATATCGTATCGTGCCAGCATGCTAATTAAGCTATATCATGACAGTACGCTTTTCATCGATTTGCACGATCGACGACAGCTTGATATCCGGCCAGCCTTGCATAGATTTGACGCAGTGCAGGTTCAGCTAACTTGTGCATGTTTTTGGGCCTCTAACATGCAACGCACACTTAGTATTACCTTTTTCTCCGTGTGATACTCAGAGTTGACTCCAATGGAGAGCCACCAGTCTGTTGCGTTGTTTGTATATAGTATAGGCTACAGAATTCAGCACGACTCGTTCTCCGTAGGCGTATGATTCGGATCCATGGACATCAAAGTCAAGGAGACTAGGTCAAAACCAATTCTCTCTCAATGCAGTCGGGACTGTTCGTAGCCTAGTCTCATGATGTGACTGAGTCTGAAACAGTAACTTGAAGGGATCGTGCTTCTGTTTCGTGAGTCTGACACACATAGACGCTATGATTGTAGCATAGGGCCACCCCATGCTACGATCACTGCGTCTATATGTGTAGCGCGGTTTCAATCGTGCAGGTGAGGAAATGATGGCAAAGGCGGGATTCAAACAAGGCGGTATAGCTTACTCAGCAATACTGCCTCAAAATAATTTATGTAATCATGCCTGGTGTTTGATCAACTATAAAGGTATAACAAAGTATTGTACATTCCCCTGTCGTATTACCATCGCAAACATGACAAGGTGCAAAATGGGCCGTGTGTATCGTATGGAAAAAGGGGTCAACATGCTTTCTATGGCACAGCCGGCATTGCGAGTGAGGGAATATATGCAAAGTCAATAGGTGTGGCAGTGTCGAATATAATGAAAGTCTAAAAGTTCTATCCTGAATGGACGTACATCTAGGGTCGGGAAGTATATTACCCAAGGAGACCCTTGCCATCAGAGAGGGCTGCCAAGCTGTATCCGCTGCCACTGATCTTGTTGTATCGTGCAATGCAAAGGCGCTGGCTTGGAGGGATGACCTTATCTTCAAGGCCATGTGGAGCTCCGCCATGAAGAATGCTGACACGCTTCATTTCAAGGAGCTGTAGAATGTAATAGTCAAGATACGATCATGCAACAACTAAAATACAGTACACCTCATGTTATGTGTGGCGTTACTATGATCATAAACACCTCCAAAGAATGCTGTAGTAGCATCTTGGCCGATGTGTTTTGTCAACAAGTGATGGCCTCCTGGGTGATCGTCAAGGAAGTCTGAAACATCATGAATGAAGCCAGCAATGCAGATGACCGGATGACTCTTGGCTTGTTCAAGGTCTACGCGGAATGTATTAGAAAATACACCTGGCATATGCAGAAAGGTATGTACAGCTCTCCCAGGAAATGATGGGTAAATCGCTGTTATCAGAAGGCCATGACAGGGTTTCCTGGATCTCGCAAAGACACTTCAGTTGCATGGTAAGCTGACCTTTGCGGACCTCATTGTCAGGGAAGGACTAATAGATCTGGATGAATCAAGTATCCTAACATATCTGCAACAGACACACCTTCAAATGGCTTGCAAAGCCAAGCTTCTGGCATGACCAAATGAACCATTTTGTAGGGTCATATTGGTACCACTTGATGGCATTATGGTAGTCCATGGGGAATTGGTGGTGGAAGTTGTGGTATCCTTCATCGATTGTGACGAGGGCAGTTACGAAGTGATCATGAGGGCTGTGTTTGTCATCAAATGGTGTTTCACCCAACCAATGAGCGAGTGAATTCATGCAAAATGTGGACTATATGCGCGAGGTCAACGGTGTATGAGAATAAAAGGCAACAACAAACATACATGGTGAAGAAAGCAAAGATGCAGAAGACCGGCGTATACATAGCCACCTTGCCAATCGCCCCAACCAAGGCCAGCCACAACAGTGGGGAAGAGGAAGCCCATGATCATGACAAGGCTCAGGTAGTATTTGTGCTGCCACCTCACGACCTCGTTCTTTGTCAAGTCGCTAACATTAGCAACACCGGGCTTGCGATGGGGCTTGACAATCATCCATCCAATGTGTGACCATAGAAGACCACAGTGTGCATTGTACGGGTCAAGGTCAGTATTGGTGTAATGATGGTGAGCACGGTGTCCTCATGACCACCATTTGATAGAGCCTTCAACTGCACCTGCACCGACAAATGCAAGAACATACTGAAGGGGCTTCGATGCATTGTAAGAACGATGTGACCATAGCCGATGGTAACCAGCAGTGATGCCTGAAAACATGATAAGACAACAGACTTTCAAATGTAAATTGCCAAAGCTTACCGAGACCAGTCATGTAGTAGTATACCACTGACCAAATGGTGGTCTCCCCTCAAAGGCGAGTGTAGTATGCACCAATGAGACCTATAGCAGGCATGCCGGCGAGAATTGCAATGTTTAACCAGTTTAACTTTGTGTACCAGTTGTCCCAAGTGATTGGAGGAAGAGACTTTTGGTGCTTGAGAGTGTATGACACATAGCTATCGGGAGTGTTAGCGTCCGCAGGGACATGCTTGGGATCCTCAATGAACTTCTTTGAGGGCTATGAGTTAGGGTTGGCATTAAGTTTTGAGGTAATAGGGGGAGTGAGAGTCTCCACCGACGGAGGTGTCGAGCAAACTGGAGGGATGGACAACATGAGAGGTGGTCAAGAAGAAAAAGACGAGTGACGAAAGAGCATTTGAGGTGCTTTCTAGGAACTACATATAGTTAGAGTCAGCTTGTGCCCCTTTTTAGTCGTTATTGTGCTAATGTAGATGTACACTAAAACAGAAACTAGCTCAGCGGGAGTGTAATCAACACTAGTGACATTAGCTAGAACAGAAAATAGCTAGGTACAAGGTCAGTGCTAGTGTTGGAAGTTAGTAGCTGCTTCGACATGGCAAGTCCGCATCTGATGTGAAAAGATTCGAACAGATCACATGACCCTGAACCTCATGTGCTTTTGAAATGCGGCTGGAGGAAAGTTGAGCTCCAGACACATCGGGGATTCCAATATTTAAGAGTGGTTTGAATGTCGTGCGAGATGTTAAGATATACTTAATATTTGGGTTGTCGTCTAAGTGGATGTAAAATTTTAAATGTTAAAACGATCTTATGTGACAAGAGAAATATAAAGTATCAGCGAACATTTTGATACTGTCTGAACGTCAATGATAATAAGAAACATAAATGTATCTTTAATGCTGGCATAAACTTCAAAATGAAACTTCACATTTAAGACTCTAAAAAATTTCAACTATCACACGTGACTGAACACCTGCTCATGCATGAAGTTTAGACTGTCACTTAGGCGGGCATTAAAATTCAAAGTACCCCCCCTGACAATAAAACACAAAAATAAATTATCAAGTTTTATCTCCAGATAAAACTAATTGCCCAACAATTGCCCACTCATGGCCGAATCATCACCCACTTACAGCATCATTGCCCACTTAAGTTTGAGATGCGAAATATTAGGGGACTAGAGGATATGAGTTATATACATGTATGCAAATCTATGTAGTAGAGTGAAACTGAAAATCAATCCTGTTTGACAGTAGTCAGACACCAGTGATTTTGGGAGGTAAATGAATGTACTTACACGAGATAGAGATAATATGACCATGGTATCACTTGAAACTGCCCATCAAGCAAAGTGACTAACAACCCAGGATACCTTGACATTTTCCAAACAACTACTTAAGCTTGATGAGTACATTTTGGTGGGAAAATGAGGATACATAACAAATGGATCGATGGTCTGATCATGACATGGGAGGAGCTTGTGGACAGCAAATACCAGTTCACCTGTGGGCATAGCATAGATGTCCTGAATACTACCAGGAACCAGAGATGATAACCGGTCACCCTGAGGATAAACAGAAACTTGACTATTCCTGACATGAGTAGAGGCTCTGCTGTGGACAATCCTGTTGAATTTTAGTCATGCACATAATATTGCTGTGCATTGTTTGATAAGCACAAACAAGTCTTCAGGAACAGCTACAGCTACAGTGGAGGAAGGAGCCTGTAGAGTGTTGTCCAAAGGATCTTCAGCAAGTTCTTCACCGAGAGTTGCAGCACTCTTGGGAGCATACATGCTGTCAAAGAGAAATTTGCACTCTTGAATAGCCGGCGGACAATCAGGTTGACTAAGCCAACAGTGAAGTTTTGAAGTTTTGATAAATGAGTATAACATTGTAGCTTCCAACTCACCTTGAAAAGTCAGTCCCATGATTACACACTGATGTTCCATAAAGACTCACCAGTCTTATGATTTACTAGGAGACGCTGAAGTATTCCAATCAAATGTTCGAAAGGAAAGCACCACCAAGAGTGGGCCGGGCCAAATAGAAGTAGATAATTGTATATGTGGAAGGCAGCATGATAATTTGGATGCAGAGCGAAGGTAGGGTATATCTTCTTCAAATTTCCAACATAGTGCGCAATGTGAGAGCGATATGCATGTGCTCTCTCTGCAGTCGTTGTTCAAGCACACACAAGATACACCATGCAAACAAGCTCCATAGTATGGTCGAGAACAACTCTAAGGTGAGTGCCAACTTCATTGGAAGGATGGGAAGTGCCAGCCCCCCACAAGCTCACCAGGGCAATAGGAATGTAGATGGTGATTAAAGAACACCATTCATCTGCTTTCATCATCCTGGCAGATGTGCTTCCGAAATCACTTGGGATTGAAGTAAACCAGGATGGAACAATTATCTGCTGGATGACATCCCGAACACGATAAAGGGCATCTAGAGAACCAAGCTGAAGCTCCTTCTCTGGAGCAGCAAAAGGTTTTCCACAGTGCTGAGAACAAACATAGGAAACTTGCAAAAAGGAACATATCAAGAACTTACCCATTCCATGAGAGCTTTCACATGATCAATTTTGAACAATCTACTAGATTTATGAGGAACACATTGCAAGGCCTCACAGACAAACTTGAGAGGTCCCATATTCTTGTGAAACAGCGAATTCTTTAGATTATCCAGATTTTTGTCATCAGAAGACAACTGGGAAACAAGAAGGGTGCATATAGCAATGACCTGAGTCATTTCCTTCGAAGTCATCCCCAGAGGCATATCACCTAAGTCACATGAAAAGGCTGGAGGGGATAAAGTTGATGAAGTAGTCGCTGTAGTCAAACCGAGAAGGCTGCGGGAGTGATGCTGGACTAAACCTTCCAATATACAATGCATTGGGTCAACAACAAGCTGATGTGAGGGATCCCAGTATGGCAACCACCACATCTCTGAATAGCACACACTGTGAGCTTTGAATAGTTTTTCTTGTTTGGAGGTTATTGCAGAATCCCTCCACCGCTCAGCGAACTTCTGGAGTTCATCTTTGTCATGAGGTTTCCAGCTTTTGAAGTCCACTCTACTGTATGTGGTCTTATGGTAGCAGTTGCACATGCTACAATAAAAATGGCTGCTGGTTCCAGCCAAAGAAGCAAGATGGCAAGCAGCAGGAAGATCACAAACAGCCAAAACAATAGTGCTGCAAGCAAGCCGGCCAGTAGGAAAACAAGTGGTCTTAGAAAAATTGATGCTGTGCTCCCATGAGTCTATCATGTCATCAATAAGTGGCTGGATATAGTGATTAAGATGCTCGAGGGATGGTTGTTTCAGACCCGGTGTAGAAACAACAATACTGAGAGGAACAAATGAAGCTCCTAACTGTATCTAAAAAATGTTGTAAGGTCGTGCGTTGCCTAGTCTGCGTTACCTGAGGAGACAAGTGCGTTCGACCCCAAAGGGGAAGCGAGTGCAGCGAAGATCTAGAGGTACGCGCTGAAGCGAAGCACGAGAAAGTGCAGGTGTGCGCAAGGCACGAAGGCGCAGGAACGCGCACGCGTATTAGCGCGAAGCGCGGGAAAGCGCACACGTGTGTGCGGAAATGAGAAGGAGTAAGCTTAAGTGAGGATATGATGTAAGACAAGAGAAGAGAGATGTGAAGTATAGACAAAATGGATTTCTACTATGTTCTGCTAACTAGTAAGTGACTGGTAGGAAAAGTAAGTTGTAAAAATGGAAAATTAGTTGAAAAAGTCAGTAATAGTATGTACTGCTGGCGCTTATATAGCGCGCCTAAGCGCGGTCATGTGGAGCCGAAGCGCTACCAAGTAGGTATGTAAGATATATATGGGTGAGAGTCCATGATAAAAATAAAGATGGAACAATATGCAGATGAGAGAAATAGAAATATACACACTAGAGAATATGGTGGACAGTGGATGGATGCATCTGGATGGCTGGCGCTATAGGGCGCTCAAGCGCAGGAATGGTGCGTGCATGGTGCGTGCGTGTTGCGCAGGAAAGCTGCGCCTCGTATAGGGATAGCTGCGGGTAGTGCATGGAGTGACACTACAAGTTCGTGCTATGTACTCCTTGGTGGGAACTGCCATATCACACCATGAGAGGCATGATTCTCTACACTGGGATGATTCCTGCAAGATACATATTCTCAGGCTTATACCTGATATCTAATGGTAGATTCAAGCATGCCATAGAGATGATTCCAGAGGATTTATTAGCACCGTGCAGATTCATACCCTCCAGATTGAAGAAGTCCACCTGAAGGGTGAAAGCATAGCGCCCTTCATCTCCTCTATCAATAAAAAGTGAACCTGGCTCTGGGCCACAAAATTGACGGAGAAACTGTGCCTTGAATGCGTGTTTCATCAAAGGAGGATGGGGAGAATTGATTGAGTCCTGCAAATCATTGCAGGCTTGATCCATTGCCCCCTTGATATCTGCACAGAAGAGGAGACCGGCGAGGTAGTCATTAAAATCATGGTAAACAAATGTCTTCTTTGGTCGCACTACTCCATCAGGGCCATGACAGAGCAGTGACTCACCACATTCGGCCTCTAGCATGGGGTGGTGTGTGCAATGTTCAGGATATGTAGGAACAATAGAGCCATCTGCGTAATGGGGGCTGTAAGTGCAGTGACAACTAGAGCAGACTGTTGTAAAGAATTGATTCCTGGTGGGCTATACAAAAGGTGTTACCTTAAGACTCTAGAGTGCAAGTGAGATGTTCGTCCCAAAGAGACTGCCTCAAGAATTATCTCTTGATATAAATGCAAGGGATATCTTGTTAAGATCAAAGGTGAGAAAAGAGAATGATACCTCAAGTACATTCAGACTTCCGAAGAATTGTCCGAAGTGTCCGATGGGTTGTCTGAAGTGTCCAGTATAGGTCTGACATCAAGAAATGAAGGTCCGAGGTTGTGCGAAGCTTCTGGCAAGCTTCCGGTGAAACAGCAAGGTTTCTGGTAGAGAATACAGTGTTTGTTGATGTATAAAACTTTGCGTAGTATGACTAGCGAAAGTTCATTGAAAGACTGAAGGATTTCAGTAGTAAAATGGCAGCAGTGAGGTCAAACAATCATTCCGAATGGACAAAGATCGATTGTGCGAAGTACTAAAATCCAGAAGTGACTACTACTAACTATGACTCGAAGCAAGGGAAGTGAAGTCCAGTCTGAGTATCTAGCGAGCCAGAATATATCCTATGACGTGAAAGTCTGGAATCTGTGTAGGCAAAAACTGTAGTGAGATAAGACATCCGAAATGTAATAACACTCAAGGCGAGTCGCTACAAAGATATACTTGTAATAATGCATGAGGAGCATATCTATACATATTAGCAAGGGTTTTCGATGTATGTGCCCCTAGATATAATCAATA